TCTTACCATTTTGGGCAATTTCGTTCTCCCAATGTTCAAATACCTCCCCATCATTATAATTTATCCTATCTTATTGATTTGGCATTGGTAATACAAATACGGCTATACTCCGAAAAATTCGTTAATAAAATATAAACCATAATGAGAATGATATTGAGCGGTTGCATGGGGTCATGTCATTTCCCATGGACATTATGTGCTATCTATCTATTGTTTTGTGTTACGATTTCACTTGCAAATAAGAGTTATAAATATAGTCCTGCCGAATGCCATTTTTAGTCTAAAGAAAGGTGTTTGCCGTTAAAATATACTTTGGGTTTAACTCGTTTGTAAGGTTAAATGAAAGGTTCTCTACAACATAACAATCACAATGTGTCCTGCCAGAGATGATTACTACTTCCAAAGCCCCAATTCTATAAAATATTCATCATGTTCACGTGACCTCTAAGAAGTCTACGAAAATCAACCAGACATCCATTGAAATTATAGTTAGCATTTGGGGAATTTAGGCCAAGATTTCGGACTAATTAAAGCCCTCGTAGGAAAAACTTGCATTTGAAGGTTTTTTCCTAAATAGCAAACAAATTTATTGGATCCAGTATAGGTATTACAAGTGATATTGTATTCAAAACTCTACGGGGTGTGCGGGAGCTTAAATCGGGCTCCCGCCAGTTGAATTGCCTGTAATTCGACTAGACGAGGGTCCCATTTTCCTCATTCATTAGCCTTCTTTCCTGAATTGTACATGGCTTTAGTATTAGTATTATGGAGAAATCATTTCTTCTCATTTGTGCACAATTCATGCATTTAGAATTTGGCCAAGGGGTGCGTGATAGACTAAACCCGGGAGTTGACTTCTGACTTCAAACTACCATGGCCCCACTGTATGTCATATTCCACCACTTCCACAGTGCACACCTCCCCTTTTTCTCTACCTTTGTGTCTATCTGTCTCTTTTACAACTGTCTCTTACATATGTGAATCACCCTCCTCTTCCCCCCTCTCGAATTTTAGTGGCTTTGATGTTCCTCCCCTCTGTGAAGCCCGAAGTCGACTAATGGGCTAATGATAACTATCATAAAGCCTGCCATTTAATAAAAATAAACAAATAGTTTAACCAAACTGTACCGCAAACAGTCTAATGTTGTTAAGTTTGGGACTTAGGTGAAGAAATTTACCGTAGAAGAGGCCACTTAATATTGTAATTACCTAGTAATGTTATATTCACTAGTCCCAACGCACAAGAAAAGGAATGCTAGAATAGCTTTAACAATCATAATATTTCTTGTTTTTTTTTGTTTCAACAATAGCAGCTGTTTATGCATTTGTTAAAAGGCCGGAGGTGTTTGAATATCCCTCAGAGGGGGTTTGGTGCGGATCACGCATATAAATTTTACTGCTAAATAGTTGCACGTATAAGTCTCAACTATGCAACTTTAATATTGTTTGAAGCTGCTTGTATGTCACATTCTTGAAAATAATTAATTTACAATTGCGCTCAACGAAAGCAAGCACGATATATTAAAAGCGTTTTAATTTTTATACATTATTGCATTACGCAAAATATATAACTATTCAATTGAATACAAATAGCTTCATAACGACTACAGCGTAGCAGTTTCCCAGTTTTGGTCTTTCTACAAAAGTGGTAGTAAATATTTTGATATCAGGGGTGTGCGATAGACTTGCCTTCACGTGGTGCACCCTGGGCAACGTATACTCATACCGCAAAAAAGTCTATTAACCGGCAGTTGACTTCAGACTTCAAACTACCATGATCTATTAACTGGCAGTTGACTTCTCTATGTCATATTCGTTATATTAACTGGCAGTTGACTTCTCACTTCAAACTACCCCGTCAATTACCTGGCAGTTGACTTCAAACTACCATGATCCCTCTATTAACCGGCAGTTGACTTCAGACTTCAAACTACCATCACCCCACTGTATGTCAAATTCGACCACTTTAACAGTACTCATCTTACCTTTTCTCTCCTCTTTTGTCTGTCTCTGTCACATTTCTGAATCATTATTCTTTCCCCCTCTTGACTTTATGTCACTTTGATGTTCCTCCTCCTCTCTGTGAAGCCTGAAGTCAGCTAAATAGCTAATGATAACTATCAAAACGCCTGCCATTTGAAATAAATAAAAATATTTTGATATCACGCTACCCATTGTTGGAGAATATTAGCAAAAAGGAAGATTCGCCGTTCTGCAAATATATTGAACCTCACAGACTTAAAAAATCTATTTTAAACACTGCTAAGTGTTCGCAGTCCGCTATCTGTCAGAATACTATTCCTAATCTTAGTCATCCAGTGCTCTTTCTCAAAGGAATCTGTTGAATGAATTGAACAATTCCCATCTCTTGTTGGGGAGAGAGTGCTGAACTAGATCTCAACCCCAGAAACCAAAATCTCAGAATCCGAAAGCCTTATTATTAGCTGCTTTTAATGCTAAGCAAAAAAATATTTACATCTTGAAAATAGAGACTATTTCTAGAAATACAGCCTATTTAAATGGAAGATTTTAAGAAAAATTTTCAACAATAGCCCTTGCATTTTCTTTGTTCTCTCCCTGAACATTAAAAATTATATTATCTTTTTATAATATATTATTTTAGCATATTCAAAATATTCTTCTCTTAGAATATGAAGTAGAACTCTTTTAGCCATATATTTCATAAAGTATTCGTCATTTTCAATGTCACTTTTTTTGTTATATAATTTTACGTATTTTTGGTTGTTATTGTTTGAGTCAAATTAAAATTGTTTATCAAGCGGTAAATTTTAATGTAAACTTCAAAATCGTTTGATCCACATTTCATGGCTTTTGGAAAAAAGTGACGTTGAATATGAATTAACATAAAGCATTTTGACATTTCACAGCCGCCACAGGAAATAAATTTTCCGCTTTGAAAAAATTTTCCCCACAAACTTCGGTTTATGATTTATAAGTGGCAAATTCAAATGCTGGTGACTTTTACAATTCGATTGGCTAGAGGACAGATTGCTGAGAAATTTTGATTTATTGTCCCAAACCCAAATTCTGGTTAGTAAAACATTTTTCACTTAAAACCCCAGTATCATCTTTGAATGAACTGCGCTGTATGAAATTCACTTTTTTGTTTAAAACAACAATTATTTATGCAAGTAAATCGGAAAGAGTATTGAAAATGGGAAAGAGTGTGGTTAATGACAAACGGCATGTTATTAAAATTAATCTCGGCCAAAACTTAAGGCAGTACTTCCTCAATTCCCCCATATGGATAAATATTACTATCCTATTTTTATCAATATTTGTCATATCTCAACGGAATTATTCGCCAGTGCCCACAGTGGTTGGATACGCCTCAGTCATCTCTCCTAAGTCACAATTTATAGGTCATTATGACTTATCAACACTGGAAGGAAAACTATTGCTGACGTGGCAAAATTGACCATCGTTATTAGTAAAAAACAGGCAACTATGCAGTGGAAGTTGTTGATGAGTATTACCTACAAACCACGGCAAGATTCATGAGGTTGGAATTCCAAAACATGAACCGCCCATTTTTTAGATAAAGTGAAACTCGAATCTCCAAATCAAATGAAGTGAGACTCTATACTGCTTAGGTATTGGCTTAAAGGCATTTTTGCTTAGTTATTTTGTATCATCTGATGGACCATCCGTTACCTGATCTGATTCCACCCCCCCCCCCCGCCTTCCCACAATCGAGAATTTTAAAATTTTTTGCTTTTGATAATAACTATAGTAACATGCTACTTTAGCTCTAGAATTGCAATAAAATAGGCAAGAAATATAACTTTCGTGATGGTATACAATTTGTGTTTTATCGAAAGCTCAAAATTTCTAAAACAAATGGTTTCATTTTTCAACACAATTTTAAAAATTTAATAACACGGTTTTTATTTGAGCCCTATCTGATCTGATAATCATAGTTTTCTTGAATAGTTACCTTCACCTTTCTAGAATACCGAAGCAGAAATTTCAATTTTTAAACATTGAATAATTCCTGGTTAAGTGAGGAACATTTTAAGCAGAATTTCGCATACATTCAATTAAAAAATTCCATTCACTTCTTTTTTCAAAGCATTCTGAATACTTGAAATTAGCTTTGTTGAATGTATCTACGAGCTTTATCCACAAATTATACTGAAGTGACATGCTGAATTTCCAATTTCCCACTTTCCAATTAGTATAGCTCAATACGGAGATGAATTAGTTCCTAAAGTTTGAACATAGAGATGGAAGACCATAACCCATTCAAAACATTCTGTTTATATCCCACTTTTACCTGCCCCACCCCTTCCTTATTACGACAGCATTAGAGTTCATTTTATTTGAACGATTACCTTTTGTTATAATCTGGAAAATAAATAATAATCAGCATTATGGAAGAGAGATATTTTCCTTTTATGTTTGACTAATATTGAAATTTAAAATGTTGGTTGAATAATAGTGTTAAATGCGAACATTTTGCCTTAAATGGAATTGTATTTATCTATTTGTGCGATGTTGTTTAGTCCACCATGGGCCGCAGATAGTACTATTAAACTTATTTTTCGAAGATTGTGGGCGGATTGTTCACCTGAGATCTATTTGCCAGGTAAATGGTGACTTATTTGGAGCGCTGTAGATCCCTACATGTCTAGACAAACAAGCGTAACTTTCAGCAGTCTATAAATTAATGGCAATAATTCAATCCATTTGCACCGCATTAGTACTGATTGCGCAAACGTATGCACCGATTTGAGGCGTAAATAAAGGTCATTCCCACATCTTTATGTAAATGTTGTCCAAGAAATTCAACTTCTCTATTCTTGTTTCCTTTGAATTCAAGCCAGCAAAGAAGAATGTTTTTTTCTTAATTTACGGCAGTAAATAAATTAATAAATGTATTATAATTGCACATATACAATATTGATACTCATAAAAAGAGAGATTGAGGGAAGAGTCATCATTAATACACATGGAACAGAGTGCTAATCACCGCCTCTTCATACAAAACTCGCTTCACGATAGGCAGAGGAGACAAGCTTCCTACTTCCATCCACATTATTGTTGAAGTTGGTCATTTGCTGCTGTTGGCACTCTGGAGGGGTTATTGATTCACCTTGACGTTCCTCGTTGGCTGAAAGTGGCTCGCTCATCTCGGATCGACCTTCAGCCTCTGGCAACAGGAGGAGCATGCTTTCTTCTCCACCCTCCTCTGAGGATTTAAAACCGCCACCTTCCGAACTTTCTCCACTACCATCCGATTTGGAAGCCCTTTGAACCACTGGATTTGCTACTGTATGTGCAGACTTTGATCGAGGGAAGTCACGGACATAGAGCCTTTGGGGAATCGATCTGTTGGATTGTTGTTGAGACTGCTGTTGGTGTTCAAAAATTCGAGCGTCAATGGTATGTGACGCAACGGGTTGGTTGGGTTTCATTCCCATATAACGACCGTATGTGAACGAATTGTGCGGGTGACCTTCTACAACACGGTACATCGGGAAGCTATCGTCACTAGTGACGGATGGTCGACCTGTTTGAGTTAGGAAACGGGGTACTGAGGACATGTTCTGTGCAAAAATTCGGTTTTGATTGATAGTATGTCCTTGCTGTTCTTCGAGAGTCTTCTCCATCGTGTAGAGACCGGTGGCTTGTAGGGCTTGGTATTCGCCTGTAATATGAGGAGAAAAATTGTCATTAGACAGAGTAGGTACCTCGTCTTCCTAGCAACTGTTGAATGACAGCTGTCCTTCCAAGTTTTACCAAACTTTCTCATCTTACCATCTTTCAGGCAATTCTACAATGCCGTTGTCAAGATTTTTTATCATGTCATATGCATGTCAGACCTCTATTCACAATTATACTTTTTCATCAAATGCCTCAAAAGTTGCTTCGTCAATATACGCATTTTCACTCGCGTATGCAATTTTAGAGGAAGATTTCTTTCAATGCCTTTTTGCATACATGTTGGGAAAACCGGAGTTTAATCAACGCCTAACATAGTATTATGATGAGCAATTTCAAAGGCATCATCTTGTGGTTTCGGAAAACTAAGGAGCTGGGATTAACGAAAATTTCTTCAGAACGAAATTGGACGCTTTATAGTACAATAATGAGAAATCTATATTCGTCGAGTAGTTTAAATAATCCAATTCTAACCACGATTAGTTTATTAATATGTCCATTCAGGAGATTTGGGGCTAGAAATAAGCTAAGCGCAATTAAAAGGAACTCCGACTACTGATATGCGTTAATCCATACTTTTATCAGTGTTAATGTCTTTATTTTGAATAGTTGGCTGAAGAGTATTCATATACTAAATAAGCATTGGTGTGTCGCGTTATGTCATAAATAATTTGTTTAATAACTTTGATGATCTAATATCTGATATACTCAGAAGAATGTAGCAAGCTGAAAGGTACTAAAGGCATTCTAACGAAAGTAAGATTTAGAAAGGCAGAACTTTTTCTCAGCAAGAAATATCCCCTTAACCACATACGAAGTCACACACACACACACCACAAAAAAATGAAGAGCAACTCAACTGATTACCACTAACTTGTTTAACGCTGCTTTAGATGCTATCACACTGAACCGACCTTTTCCTCTATTTCCACTCAGACAAATTTTGGCATTACCCCCTCCAAGGGAGGCTTACAGGGGATAGAGGGCTGAATTGCCAGAAACAAAAAAATAATTAGATGGAAAGTGCCCATAATAATATCGTATACAGTAAGTGAATTATCTACGCAGCCAATTAAAAATGCTCTAACTGGAACGTGTACTTTTGTAGAGAACTCGCAATGTAAACATTAATTTAAAAGAAGAAGAAGAAGAAGAGGAAGCTGTCTTCCACTTTTGTGAGCCCGCAGTTAACTGAAACGAGTGCATGCAAGCATATGCATTTTCATAAACCATTCATCAACAGATTTATCGAAGAATACATTCTGGTTTTGCGGTGAAATGAAAGCTAGGACGGAGTGGATTGGTGGGGGGGGGGGGGGGGGGGGGTTAAGGGTGGTAGGTTTTCTTTGGTCATAAATATCAGTAGGCTTTTTGCGTGACTTCTACAACCGAGGTGGAGAAGATACAGTTTCGTAGCCACGCTGCATTGCATGGGAACAAACAGCAAAAAAGGGGTTTGTTTCAGATTTTTGCTTTCGTGACTTGCTATAGATAAATTTCGTGTCAACCTTGCAGCATATCGGACATGCACTCCAGTAGGCCGGTTTCTCCAACTGGACTTGGCATTTTTTTTCTTGCTTTTAATTGCGATTTTTCAGTCCTTTTTCGGGCTTGCTGACTAAGGGAGAATGAAATACGAGATGTTCGTAGTGCTGAGGACAGCAACTACTTGAAATGTCAGAGCCGGTGCTCATGTGAACTTTACTACTAAAATTGCTCCCAAATTAAAAGGTTGTTTTGACTTTGCGTTTTGGCATTAAAAATAGATTTATTAAAATATCAACCTTAAAGATAGCGGATTTCAATTTGGCTACCAAAATGGGAATAAATATATATATATAGAATATTATGAATGATTAGACAAAGTACGTGATTTCTACTAACACCTCTATGGTAATAAAGGTAAAAGTGGCACTTTTGAAACCTCCTTCAATTTCTATCCAGTAGAATTACTTCTATAAAATCGTAGCTTTCACTAAACTAAATAGATTTAAACGCCACAAACAATCGTTCCCAACTGAGCACCACAACAAAAAATAACACCAATTTCGTTTTATCTTCTATTTAATGGAGTCTTTGTCCTCAATACAAAATGGCCTTCTCATCTTTAGCGATATGTACTTTGGACATTTATATACCGGACAACAACCTCACGTCTTGACGATAAGCGATGATTGTAGAGTGTTAAATGAATGTCAGAAGGGTCGACTTACCATAGCACATAGTGTCATTCCTTGGGACGGCATAGGGGTGACTGACAAAGACCTTGTCCACCACCTGGCCCTGAGGTGTCATCTGACAATTAACAAAAAAATGAAAGATCAAGTGGTTTGTTCCCCTAAGTAATAAAAATGTAGTCAGAACGTAAACTGCATCGAAATGGACAATTCCAACAATTTTCACCTAAATAGAAATATCTGTGAAATTAAATTTTAAAATTTGTTACATCCGTTCAGCCATCTTTCACACTATTATCAAATCGCGAAGGAAGAAAAAAAGGATTTTTTGCGCATGGAAGGCATATTAGAATTGGAACTCAACATGCATGCATAAGCGTGTGTATCAGAAAACAATTAATAATTAGAGAGCTAATGAAATCTCACTTCTTTATTATTCGCCATACGAGCATACTTAAGTGGAAGCAACAAATCAGCACTTCTCGCTGTAGTCGCTTGCTTTTTGCTCGGCATCATACGACCATCAAGATTTGCCGGTGCGAAGGTGGCAAACTCTTGTGTCATGGACTTGGGCATCTCGAAGAAGGATTGGCTCTGAGGCATCAGATTCACACCACCACCACCACGTCGACAGAGGAGCATCTCAGATTGGCTTTGAATCACACCTCCCCCTACTACGGGAGTATGCCCAAGAGCTTGAGATGACTGAGCACTGAATGAGTCCACAACTTCATTGTTGAATTGAGATGAAGGTGTGGCTGCGTCAAGATAGGTTGGGTTTTTCGAACGATTCAGACTCTGGTGTGTGGCTGAAACTATAACGAAGGAAATTTTACATTAAATCGGAATTCTCCAAATGGTTTGCAACAATGGTAAGCTAGACTATCCCTGTATTTTAGCAAACAGGAACAAGTTTTAGAGGTATTGCTGTGAATTATTCATGCCTCCTAGTACTCTGACTAATGTGTTTTCATGCCACAGTTATCAGAAAAAAAATAAATTATAATTGGGCTGCTCTTGTAATCCATTTGCATTTGTGGATTTTTATCAGTACCCGGTGAAACTGGAAAGTGTAATGGTTTAGGTTAATCCCATCACAAACAATGGTTGATATCATTTCAGACCAAGATTCAAAGAAAGAATAGTCATTTCTGGAAGTAGACTGAATTTGATGTTACAAATTGACTGAGTACGAGAAATCAAACCAATGAGAGGAAATTCGAAGTGGGCTTGCCAATACTGGTAAGTACAAACAGAAAGACAAATCTTACTTCTAACCCAGGCTCTTTTTTTTCTATTCCGAATTTAACAAATAAATAACCTTATAGGTATACCAGTGACAACATACCAGACATTTGTTTCGCAGTTCCAGACTTGCGATTTCGAAGAAGCAGAATCAGTCCAAGGATTGTCACTAATATGACCGCAAAGAGCACCGACATACAAATGATTATAATCTCATTTGAACCACCAGTCCAACTTTGCATTCCATCAGGTTCAGCATGACCCGAGGAGGGTTTTCTTCCATTCCATCCTGCCAGTCGGTCATCACCAGATGTATTATCAGATAATTGCGAATGCATAGCTGCACCAGCCTCTTGTGATCCTTCAGTAATGTGTACCTGATTTGAGTTGCTACTTCCGAATGCACTACCTCCGAGCCCGTTATTTTCACCACCACCTCCAAGCCTACGTTCTGGTTGAACGTGGATGCGAAGGTTAGGAGAAACCGTACATCTAGGCTCCGCACCGCTATCACAGGCCTCCAAGGTGATCACATGAACAGTCGGTTGAGTAGCAAGTTGAAAAGCTCTAGCGGAATTGGTTTCATCAGTATTTGAATTATTGGTATTTTCGGCGAAACGGATCAGTGAGTCCGCCAGAAAGAGTAGACCAGACTGTGGATCTATGCTGAACAAGCCAAGTGAGTTTCCGGCCTTAATTTTATAGGTAACGCGTCCATTGTCTCCCTCATCTGCATCTGTAGCAATGATATCGGCTAGCTTGTGTCCAAGAGTTTGACTAATTGCTACAGAGAGTGTATTTGCCGTGTTATTAGGAAGAACAAAGATTGGCGAATTGTCATTCTCATCCTCTAAGACAACCGTCACTAATGCTGTCGCTGTGAAAGAATTCTTCTCTATACCACCACCAGGTGTAGCTTGATCTCGAACAAGGACTTTAAAAGTATAATTAGACTGGTCCTCACGGTCTAAAGGACGTCTTGTAGACAGTTCTCCAGATGACCTGTCAATTTGGAAAACCAAAGCATCATAATCGTTGCTCAGATAGTAAGAGAGGGGACCCTGCTCATCGAGATCAAACGCCATGACTTGACCAACCCGGCTTCCACGAGGTAGATTCTCCGCAATCTGGAAGGTGTATAACTCCTGTGTAAATGCTGGGGGATTGTCATTGACATTAAGTACCAAAACTTCCACAGTTCCTGTTCCTGTCAGTACGATATCGCCTTCAGCTTGATCTATTGCCAGAATATTAAAGGCATACTTCGCATTCGCTTCTCGATCAAGTGGAATTCTAGTAGATATGACACCAGAAAATGGGTCAATGGAGAAGTTTTCCGCCGCTCTTGAACCTTTGATGAAGCTGTACTTGATCACACCATTTTTTCCCACGTCTGCGTCGGTTGCCAAAGCTATTCCATTTCTAATTGAAACATGTTTTAATATAGTTCCAGGTGGGGAATTCTCTGGTACTTCGTAAGTCATCACCTCTTGGGCAAACTTAGGCTTGTGGTCATTTATATCTCCTATCAAGACGGTAAGATTGTGGACGGATTGGTGGTTGGCGTGATCACTACAGATTATCTGAATTCGCTGAATTGGAGTAGCTTCACGGTCAAGGGTGGCTGCGGTAAGAATAGCGTATTGTGTTGCTCCAGGACCTTTACTAGTCTGACCGTTGAATACGTGCGTTAGTTGGCTGGCGGATATGCGTGTGTTGGCATGTTCTTCAGCAATTAGACTGAAGTTCTTGTTATCCAGTGTACATTCATGTTCATCTTCTCCACGGAAGTCCAAATCACTCACCTATTGGGTTAAACATATAAATGATTAGACGGCAAATGCCATTCTATTCACTTTCAGTGCCTTAATCAACATAAGAGCTAATCCTGCGGTCTCACAGGGATAGTATTTAAGTGAATTTTTATTTTTCGTTCATCGAATTAAGCAGTTAAGGAAGTGATGCTGTTTAGTCAGCGCTAAAAGGGGGTTTTGAAACCTTGTAATCAGTTGGTTCAGAGGCATTATGATTAAACAAACCCCTCTATGAGTGGGCGTTGCTTGGTAGATTTGCCAATGAAGTATCATCAGATGGAGCACATTTCCGTCATTCGGTACAAGGCAATTTCATTTAGCGGGTAATTATCTGCTACTCTATGCCCAGAAACTCGTCATACTTTTGCCGATCAGAAATTTTCATCTAGTGAAAATTTTAAGAAGAAAAAACGAGAAGTCATTCTAATTTTCATTTATTCTTCCCGTTCTTCCCAATTTTGGAGTTGGATCGATCTCGTATGCTTTTACATGCGGATCAATACAGTTTCGAGATTTTCTTCGATATTAGATTAATGATTCATAATTCGACATAACTTGCCTACGTTTCACCTTCATTTAATACAGAGCATTTGGTTGGTAGTGCGTGTAACGTGAACTTTATTTATGATGCGTCACTTCGTGCTAACACAAAAAATAACGAATGAAATTCTGCACCACCAAACCTACACAACTCGATTTCGCTTGTCTGCATTCGCTTACCAAAGAATTTGTAATTAACGACGCAATTAGAATTTCGGAGGTGTTCGCGCGAAGAGGGAGGGGAGGGGGGGGGGGGT